CTAGACGTCGACAAATCTGCTGCAGGAAATTAAGAACCTTGGCATGCCACCTGTGCCTGGAAGGAAGACGATCCCTGGCCATGGGTTTGAGTTCACTAACCTCTCTTACAGTGTCATCAAGAAGCAAAAGAAAGACGATGAATGGATCAAGAAATTAGAGGTTTATCTTCTCGATGATACACCGGGCTAGGCCGTGAGGGGTGGATGTCACGAATATATTTTAATTAAGGCGGCATTAATTTATTTTTGATTTTATTTGATATTAATTAATATTCATAATATATTGGTTTTTAATTTTTCTCCCATGTGCGTGTCAATCCACTTGTTTTTACCCAACTCAAAATTTTTTTCTTCATCTCTTGTTTTCGACGATAGTCTATAGCAAGATTTGATTCATGCAAGTTGTTTTATTGTGCGCTGATTATATCATTGTTGTATATTGTAATATTGAGAGACACACGACCAAGACATTTTCGAACACCAAGAAATGACCAAAGATCTGTCTTAAGAAAACTACATAGTTACATGCCTCAGTCAGTTTCAAGTTCAATATTCTATCTATAATCAGGTTCTCTATTCTCTACTGTATCTTCTTCCTCAAAGGGAAGATGATTCCCATTAATTGGAGGTGGCTCCACTATATTTCGGCCTGGCTGGTGAATGAGTTGAAAGAAGAGGAAATCTGCTATGGAGGGAACCCAGCCGATCTTTCACCGGGTGCTAGGCTATAGGCGAGTCGAAGCTCAGTGGTTTGCATATCAAACAAAATGATATCAGCAATGGGAATTAACTTGGACAAACATTGGTATGATATTGTTATCGTGGTTGCATGGGGAGTTGTGTACCGCCTATTTTTCTACGTGGTGCTCAGATTTTACTCCGATAAAAAATTTACTATTTTCATGATCTCCCATCTCCATGTTTGTCACTTAAAGTTCCAGTTCATTGTTAATGCATGAAGAAATCATTGAGTAGTTTAATAATTGAAATCTTATTTTCGCTCGTGAATCGATGGATCTTATAAAAAAAAACCCACCTCCTCGTCCCGAAGAAGAAAAGAGTGAATATTTCATTAATTTATTTTAAAAAAAGCAGGTAAATAGTTCAGTCCACATCTCCCATGTGATTTTAATTAAAGTTAAAAGGCAAGAGTCTCATTTTTATTTCCTTCCTCCGCCATTTAATATAATATATTCGTCCTCTTTTTGTTCCTTTGCTTTCCCTCTCCTCCATACTTTGTCTGCTCCACCAAGCTAAGCATTGTCTTTCTTCTTCTTCTTCTTCTTCTTCTTCTTCTTCTTCTTATTTGGTTCGTTTCAACTCTTCCTTTATTGACCTTTGGAGATTATGGAGAGAGATTTTCTGGGATTGGGCTCAAAAAATGCTCCGATTACAATCAAGGAAGAGCCCTCTGATGCGCCTAACGATTCTGGTACGGTTTTCCTCCTTTTTTAATTCATAATTGGATTAGTTTTTCTTTTTTATTTCAAAACTTATAAAGACTCCGCAACAGTGGTAGACGTGTAGTGAAATCTTATAAACCTCGTTTTCTTGGAGTGATTTGATGAATCTTTCGAGTTACTCAATTTTCTCGGTAACCAAACAAGCGAAACCCGGGAAAGTTCTGCGCCAATAAGCAAAAACCACGAGCAAGACGTCATTTTCGTTTAAATGAAATAAAAGGTACAGTTACTTACAGAAATCCTAGGATACTTTTAATAAAGTTGACGATGTCAGCGTGTGTAAGTGCTATACCGTTCGATTCTATGCAAGAGATATTAAGAAAATATATGCTTGATCATATAACGCTGTTTATGAAATATATTTAAAACTTTTAAATGATATTATAAAATATTCGAGCTTCTCTTGGTATAGATCATTTGAGATAAAATATTAAATGTGGCTTGGGAAAAGGACAATTTGTCGATAAAATATCATAGCCGGATAACATGGTTGCGTGTTAATAAAACTAACATGGATGGATACTCATGATTAAAATAAAGTTCTTGTGTCAAGGGCTTAAATAATTAGTATCTTATACTCTAGTTTTGTTACGCGTTATATATATATATATATATACAAGTTTTTATTAAATCATTTTATATGAATTTATGTTCAAATTATTATTTTGGTTTAGATTCTTATTTAAATCAACATAACTATATCACATTATGTTGATTCTAATTACATTTAAAGTAAATTACACGGGTGACAACCGAACTATGGTTATAAACCATTTTGACCACCAATGTTTCAAAATGATTAATCAGACCACCTAACTATTTAAATGGTTCAATGAAGTCACTAGCTATTAATTTTTAATGGAGGCGATGATATGAAAGTTAATAAAATCGACATAATTATATATTTGATCATTAATATTTACATATTCTATCAATTTAGTCACTATTTAATTCAGCTAAATAAATTTATTAACCTTCCAATCATATAGTGACACGTGTCACCACCGATATAAAGGGAAAGTAAATTGAAATAGAAGAGAGCTTGAGGGATTCGAACCAAGGACCCCTATTGTACCTAGGCAAGCCTTTGTCATTGTGCCAAGCCATCTATTTAGTTCACACACACATGTGTGCACACGCGTGCACACACACACAAGCCATCTATTTGGTTCACATGAGCGTGCGCAAGCCATCTATTTGGTTCATACACACATTTTAAATTATTAAAACAAATCTAATAAATAAATTATATTTCACATGTATATTAAATTATCGTCAATGTAAGACTTAAAAATAAAAATGAGTTTAATATTTTTATTTTGTGATTTGGATTCTCTAAATATTTTTAATTTAATTTATATTTTAATAATTAAAAACAATTGTAAAAAATAATTTAAATAAAAATATTAAACTTATTTTTATCTTGTTATTTGAATTCTCTAAATAATTTTAATATAATTTTATTTTTAATATAATTTATATATGTATATATGCTTATGTGAAATAATCTCAAACACAATATATAAAAGATTATGCATTTTAGAACAAAATAGATAACTTGGTCAATGGCAAAGGCTTGCCCAGGGTCCTCTCGAATCCTCCAAGCTCTCTTCTATTTCAAATTGTTTTCCCTTTACACCGGTGGTGACATTTGTCACCACATGATTGGTGGGAAATTTTATTTAATTAAAATATGAAAAATAATTAAATTAACCTTTCAATCAAATAGTGACACGTGGCATCTCTGGATTGGAGGGTTAAATTTATTTAATTGAATTAAAATAGTGACTAAATTGATGGAATGTGCAAATATTAAGGATCAAAATATAATTATACTAATTTTATTAACTATCACGTCACCACCTCAGTTAAAAATTATCGACCAGTGACTTGATTGAACCATTTAAATAGTTGGATGGTCTGATTGATCGTTTTGAAACGTTGGTGGTCAAAATGGTTTATGATCATAGTTTGGTGGTCACCTGTGTAGTTTACCCTTATATTTATACTTATAGTTTTAAAATTATGATTATAATTATACTTATATTTGGTTAAAAACACATGAATAGACATTCATATAATTTAATAATGTTTTTTCACCAAGGACTTAAATTATTAGGCTAATGTGGCATTTTGAAAAGTAGTGCCTATCTGTAATGACATGTGTTGGGTTTGAATCGACTTGATTGATCAATCGAAAATGTGTCAAGGGGGTGAATTGGTTTTTGAAGATTAGGGAGTAAGGAGTATAAGGATAGGAAAATTTACATAATGATTTATAGTGGTTCAACTTCCTCAATGAAGTCTACATCCACTACCTAAGCTCCTCACTTAGATTTTCCAACAAATTCACTAATTTGTTCTTTCTTTTTCAAGGATTAAGAGTAACATTTACATCTTCCTAGTTTTTCACTTAACTAAACTAGAATCAAAACCCCTTTACAAAAAATAAGAAATGCTCAAACAAGAAGACCTCTCTGGGTTGGTGTTTACAATGATTTAGCTCACGAAAAACAAAACCTAAGGGTATACAATTAAACTCAAAACACAAATATTTACAAGAGAAAGAAAATAAGGATTGAAAAACTTTTTTCTTGTGTATGAATGCTTGCATAGGTGTTGGTCTACTTCTTCAAGTGTTCTCAACTTGTTTTTATATGTTGGAATGAGTTACTAGCCATTTCTAGCCATTTGGGAGCTGAAAAATCTGCAAGGGGTTACAAAACCTTTAAAGGGGGTTTCAAAACTTTCATTTAAAATTTTGACTGTTTGAAATAAGGGGTTTTGAAACCTGTAGGCCAGATTTACATTATGCATTAGGAGTTTTGAAACCACTTGCAGGGGTTTCAAAATTAAACCCAAAATTGTCTATTTCACCTTTTAAAAACTTAAAAACTTTGAATTATTTAAGTAATGTTTGAACAAATTAAATTTAGTCCACAAACATTTTTTCCTTATTTGTTATATCAAAATATTAGTTCTACAACATGTGATTTGAATTTTTTTTATGGGAATACTCATTAAATAAAATATTTATTTCCAATGTGTTTGGAATAAGTTATTTATCCAATGCCATAGATGCCATAGATGATTTGACCAATGGGTTTTTATTTTATTTTATTGTTCAATACTTGGTTAAGTATTGTTCTCTTTTTATTTATTTATTTAGCTTTATTACTAAAAGGAAACAACATGAATTGGATTCTTCATGACATGATGTATGGTGGTTTTGGCTTCATATATCTATGATCTATCTCATATTTTTAATGTTTATTTAATATGATTTATTGATAAATATGAATTTGTGTGGTGTTAGTATATGAATACAAACCCATTTTTAGTTTTGTGCTTGCTTTCCAATTCTAAAAATTGGAAGACGCAAACCCTTTTGACCATATATTATAAATTTACCAATCAAGAACATGAACATTGTATTTGAAATTTTCAACCAAAACATTGGCTTGTTGCCTGCACATTTCTAAGGTTGGAGGTAGCATAGGAAATCATATCCCCTTCCTCTTGGTTCTGCAGTATTGTTAAAGGGCACAGAGATGCAGCTGTCTTTCTCAAACATGGCAACTCCAGTTCCTCACTTCCTATCTTTCAAAGCTTCTCAAGAAGATAGGCCGAGGAAGGCTGCTCATGACCCTCCACCGGCGTCCGGATTCATGGCTATACCAACTGCCAATTCTTATGGCTCGACTTCGACTCAGGTTGGTTGATTTCAATCATCAACTTATTGGTTTCCAGTTATTTAAAACTCCAAAGTTCAGTATGCGGGGACTTTTGAACCTGGCTGTCTTATGATTTCGTTGCAGGTTAACTGATTTTCTTTCCACTCTTCTTTTCCTCCTATGATTGGCAGAAACAAGGGGAAACCACTACACTGTGGTACACCAATCCCACCGTTCCCACCAAGCGAGTGCTTTTCCGGTCTCCGGCCAGCCAAATAAAACTACTACAGTTCCCATGAGCACTCCTCTTCTCCAGCCCTACTTTGCTTCTAATGCGCAGTACATAGTTGGTCATACCGTAAACCCGCAACCTTTTACTGGAGTTCCAATTATGGCTCCCCCTGTATCTGTTGTTCCTCCATCAAGTTCTATCATTGGTACTACTGATCTTAGGTATCTAAACTTGTATCCCGTGTGGTTGTATTGAATCTCAAATAACATATGTAAGTATTAGCTTAAACTGCTAGTTGAATTCCTTTTGCAGGAGTGCTGCAAGCGCCAAATATTCCGGGGCACCATCGCAATTGACTATCTTTTATGCTGGATCTGTGTGCGTGTACGATGATGTGTCTCCCGACAAGGTACACCGTATTGCTTCAGCACGCTTTGTTTAAATGCTTGACACCATTAACTTAGGGTGCCACTTAGTTCTTTGCTTCCATGTCCAGGCCGATGCTATTATGTTATTAGCTGGAAATGGTTCTGCAACTCAGAGTAAAACAGCTCCCATGACTCATAGTTCAAGACCTTGTACTGCTGATGCTTTTTTCAGAAACAGTAGCTGCACCATGTCCTCTTTCCCGGGTCCTCCAAGTCATGTTTCTGTAACCCCCCATGTCAGATCACAGGCCGGTGGACAATGTAGGAGCACCAATGAACTAACGGTTGCCCCAAGAATCGGTGCTCTAACATCTACTAGTAGCCGACCGGAGCCTCCTAAATCGGTGAATTCAGTAGGATCTGCTGCGACAACTCGAAATCCTACGGGTATTGAACTCTTGTTTTTCTAACTGGATTCTCCTGTAGCTGTTGTATTCTTTCTCTAATCTCTTAATCGTTTGATTTCATGGACTGTATTCTGTTTTCATTTTCCGTGAATTTTATTCATTTATTTTTGTAGTAGCTGTGCCGCAAGCTCGTAAAGCATCCTTGGCTCGGTTTTTAGAGAAGCGCAAAGAAAGGTATTTGCTTGTTTTTGTCAATTTGTTGACAATTATTTAAATATCTGTTGAAAACTTGAAATATTGTTCATCATTGATTATGGTAAATAAAAATTAAATTCGACCTAAAAGATGATTTTTTTTTTAATTTAGAGTTGTTTGAATTATTCGAATCGAGGTTAACTTTTGGTTTGAAATTACAAAGTCTGAATAATAAAAAAATTAATTGAAACATCATTTTGATTTTTAAATAAATAATTTGATTATTTTGTGATTTGGTCTCTGATTTTTTTCTTCAATTCATCTTTCGTTTGAAGTTCATTTTTTAATCAAATTTACACCACATAACCCATGTGTAAAAGAATATGATAGAATATATATGCATATCATATATGATTGAAGAGAATCGTTAGAGTTAAAATTTATCAGCATCATAATATTATAAATAATTACAATTAAATTCAAATTTAAACAAATATGTTTAGTTTGACTTGAATTTATTAAACTTTATTAACTCGAACTTTATCCACTTAACTAAATTAAATATTTACCCCTATTTACATCCACCTTAAATGTTATTGATATATACGTCCATCTTATATGCTATTGCTGCTGTCACGGGGTTAGACTGCTGCTAGCAAACTCGTGCTGGGCTGGCGGTCCGTGACATTGCACTACAAATACGAGTTTGCTAAGCTTTACATAGTTATTTCCATTTTGTTTAAATCAAGCTTACATATCCATGGTTCTACATCCAGGGCATCAAACATGTCGCCATACGGTGTCAGCCAGAAATCTCCTGATTCGCGCCCTGCAAGTTCTGATGGCTTTTCTCTAGCTTCTGATGGCTTTTCTCTAGCTTCTGCTGCATCCGTCCTCTACTAGCCCCCAGTTAATGGTCGTTGAGGCCTTGTTTTTCCTTTTGCCATAAATCATGTCAGATTTTGAGGTGATGAGTTGGACAGAATATATGCATATGTTTTGTTTTCAAGGGTATATTGTCAGCAAATACCCTTTTCAATTCCAACAACTGTTTTCTTGAGATAAAATTATGAATGTCGTTGCATGCTCTAAGTTGATTTGGAAAAAGACATGGTGAACTCTAAAATCATAAGTTTTGTACTAATTTGCATAAATAATACGTTGTCAGTTTTGGCATTTCGTTTTTCTTTGTGCTAGTTCGTTGCTAAAAATATCATAATTTTATCCAATTCAATTAGTCACCAAACGAACATAATGATTTTCTTCGTACTCATTTATTTAATTCGAGAAACGAAAAAATAATTTGATTATTTACTCGTGAAACAAAAAAAAGGTCAAAATGGACCCTCAAAGCGTTACTTCCTTGGAAGGAAAACAACATAATCTATAGCAAACATGGAAGTATTTCAATGCTGTTGTCTAAAACAAATTAGCAAAAATAAACACACTACTCAAGTACAACTGCTACCTGTTTGTTCAATAAGCAAAGCAATAGATACGTGTAAGGACAATCACAGTATGCCATTTAAAATTCGGGTAAAGCAAATCAAAGGTCACTGAACTATGCTCAAATGTCCTTTTTGACCATTGAATTTTCAAAAGTTACAAAATGATCATTAAAATTATTGAACTGCTACCAAATGGCCATTTGATTTAATCAACTTTATTATTATAAAGTCACGATGCCTATCTTATAATTGTTCGATAAATTTAACAACCATTTTGTAACTTTTAAAAGTTCAGTGATCAAAATGATCATTTTATAAACCCTCAAAACCGCAGAAACAACAAAGGGACGGATTAGAGATGTCCGCAAAGCAAGGGAAATGAACAAGGTATCAGTAACATCCTAAATAATGTCAGTACCCAAATCCAATTTTCCAACCTTCAAAAGTACCTCTTTTCTCACATGCATTTTAAGCATCGATTCCGTACTAATCTTTGCAACTGCGTATCTAGGTATTGAAAATGCGAAGGGCTTGTGCAAGCCCTTCCAAACAAAGCAAGCCATACCCGTAACGAAAACCTTCATTAATGTTTCTTCTTTTTTATTATTAAATTAGAAACCAAAACTACGCAGTTTTCTTCCACGTAATTCTCCAATTTCCAGGTCAGCCCAACTTGGTTAAACTAAAGTCGAAACTATTTTTGCAAGGGAATCTAACAGTTACTAAACCGATGTTCTTAATAAAACTAAGAGTAAACACATAAGCAAAATTACATTAGCTAAGATGACCCTCAATTTTTTTTAGTGAAAAATGACAAATTTGAAATATAATGAATAGACGGATGATCATTTTATAACTTTTAATTGTCGAGAGACTCAACAAAATAGTATTAGTAGGAAACTATTTATGTACTTTACCGTAAAAGATATAATTCAAATTGAAAAAAAGAATATGTATTCTTTGAAAGTAAAATTGTGCATTAAGCCAAAAATCGATCCGTAAATATAATACTCAATATTACTTTAAATTTTAAATTTTAATTTATTTTGTAACATTAAATTTTATATTGCTTTTATTTAAAAATTTATAGGAGACGATTATTCCATCTGGACCCCTGATTCATCCTTTAATCTAAGGTTTATTTTACTTATTTTCATATACTATTATTAAATTTTTGACTATCACAGTTAATTAGGTGTGATGAAATTTGTTCAGTTAGAGTTAGTTTAAATCTATTTGTTAAGTGAACCCACCTAAAAAAATAGATGTTCATATTTATATAAAACTCAAATAATAGATACAAATTTTTACATTTAGAAAAGAATAAAAAGAAAAAGGAAAAAAATGTTTTGTAGATGAGATTTCAATATTTTCTCTTTCTTGGAATTATTTATTCGCCCCATCAGGAAGAATGTAAAGATGGTGGAACAAGCACATGGAAGTAGCTTGCTAGCTAGGAATACCGATGTAACGCAAGGTTGAATATATATCTCACAAATCCAAAAGATGTATTCGTCACTTGCAACTTGTTCGATCCACTTCCTCATGATCCTTTGCCCTGCCTGCGCATGCTGCCGGGAGACCAGCTCCTCTAAAGCCTCCCTCATCCACAAATGTGGGCATTCTTCTTTAGCTTTAGAGATTGTTACCTACAACCACATACATAACATTTGTCCGATGATTGCTTGGATTTAGACCACCCACGAATGATCAGAACCTAGGATGTCATACGTACCCATTTCCTTGTCCGGAGTTTTTCTCGGGCCAGAGGTCTAACTCTTGCTTGACAAGCATAGGAAACATGTGGCCTTCATGGAGAGTACTTCGCCTCTTGCTCTCGTACGACCATTTCCCTAATTTGCGCTGTTAAACCAACAAAATACATCCAAATGGTACTGTCAGCATTCAGAAATATATAACAAGAAATGTCTTCTACTAAGAGTTGATACATATATATACTAACTTCAATGTTGCCAACAACACCGGCTTCTTCGAGCGTCTCTCGAACGGCCGCCTCTTCCATAGATTCATCATGCTCCCAGCCACCTTTAGGGAATAGCATACCTTTTCCATTTTGTGCACTGATCACAAGTACTTCGATCACGTCGTCGTTTGAATTCGCTTCGTCCATTTCCTATATCGATATGGAATACATCTGCTCAAGAAAGAATTATATATTTTTTTTTCAATTTAAGAATATTGTAAACAACCTAACCCAACAGAGAAACAAGAGACGACCACAAGAAGAAATACCCAACAACTAAACGAAAGCCTTCACTATCATAGCGTTGGAATTGCCTACCACTGCGAGGAGAGCGACAAGGAGGAGCAAGAGACACATTTTCTCAACAGGAAACGGCGGTTCCGCGGGTATTTTTCAATGAGAGAGACGAGCATGCTGGTGAGAAGGGGGAAACCTGTAAGGAACTCCCGAGATCCCTCCTATGTTATCATATAAATTATGGCAAAAAATGAATAATATATGCTCTTGGGATTCTGTCCATTCTATATTTCCTTTTCTTCATCACCCTCCAACTAAATTAGAGTCTCCATCATTTAACAACCATCAACTTTTAGAGGAGATTTCATCGTTTCTGTCTGTATGTGGATAAGATGTATGAGACAAATTTGGTGTCTCTTAGGTTTTTGTGTGCAGAAATACCAATCCCCACCGTTTTATGGATGGGAATCACCTTAAAATACATAGATTTCTACATAAATAGTTTCCTTTGTTTGAATCATGAATTAGTTAAGTATTATAAAAAGACAACGAACAACGATTATAAATTACCAAAAAAAATATAAATAATATTAATTCATTTAAAAAATACAGAGAAAGAAATTTTATTATAATATCAAAATTATAAAAATCTTCATTTATATTGAAGTTAATCAATAATTTCAGTAATTATATTTTATTTATAAGATTAATTACTTGATGAAAATGAAAACTTAAATTATCAAAAGCTTTCTTGAATACAATTTTATCTTTTAAATAAAAATTAATAAAATAAGATTATATAAATACAAATTTATATAAATTTAGATTATATATCTTGTTCATTGCTTAGGATGATTATAAAGTATTACCCGTTTATAATATTTCTTAACTATCGATAGTGCACACATTCTACAGACGTAACTGTTCGAACTCAAGATTTTTATAAAACAAATTACACTTTCTTTAATTACTAATGTCACTTGATGAGTTTAACTTTAGGTTGTAAAAAATATATTTAAAATGATAAAAAAATTTATCCAATTATAAATTAAAATCATACGAACCAAATTACTTCAATAGTTAAAATGATGATTATTATCTTTAGAGATCACATATTTAAGTACCTACTACTATAGTGTATTTAAACGTTTATTGTTAAACCATTAAAAATCTTTAAAACATATACTATTACTTATAATCATTCTAAATTAATTACCTTAAATTAATAAAAAATGTAAAATCAAATCAAGCAAATGAGAAGAGTATGATGTAAGTCGGGCGAGAATATGGTGACGAGCGGAGTGCCACGTGGCAAAAGGAACGCCCCCAACTTGAAAGTCTAACCGCCTAAAACCTACCATGTAATTTGAAACGCCTGCTTCGTTAGAATACAATTTTCGTTTGTAACGCAGCCCTTTGAAATCTTGACCGTTGAATTCAATATCAACAAGATTCCACACTATTAATTGAACTTAGTTCCATCTTAGATTTTTGTTAATCTAACATGCTTTGGTTGGATTTGCCATGCCATTTTATATAATGGACTGATTTAATAAATTTAAGGGTAAAATACATAAATGACTCCTCGATTATAGGATACTACTTTATTACGTCATCGCCATTTTTTAATAATTTGGGATAAGTACATGGTAGTATATGTTCAAAGATAAATCTCAACCTTTTGACATTGATCGCTCACACTCCTTGCATCTATTGTGCTCGAACCGGGGTTCTCAAGGAATAGCAACAATTCCTTTACCACGGAGGTCACTTTGGTCCGTGCCCCTTGACTATTAAAATTTATAAAATGGTCATCCGACTATAAAGCGTTGCTTTGTTGAATCCCTCGACTATTAAAAGCTAATGAATGGTCACTTGACTATTCATTATATTCCAAACTCGTCCTTTTTCATTAACAAATTGATTGTATTCTGAGCTAGTCATTAATCTACTGACTGTGATAGGATAAAATCTGATCCTAGAATTTCAAACAATTATCATATCTCAATCTTCATGTTAACATCAAACTTTGACGGTTGTCAATTTTTTAATAGAAAATAACGAGATTGGAACATAATGAATAATCGGGTGACCATTTTGCAACTTTTAATAGTTGAAGGACTCAACAATGCAATACTCTATAGTCTGAGAACCATTTTGTAACTTTTAATTGTCGAGGGACTTAATAAAGCAATATCCTATAGTAAGATAACCGTTTGTGTATTTTAGCCTAAATTTATGTTGAATTGATTCACATTCAAATTTTAATAAATTCTTAATTATTCATTTTCCAATTTGACTTGAATTATTTTATAATTCCATTATAACATTTATAAATATTAATATGTAAATAAGTTTTGTGTACAATAATAAGATCAATTCTAGAATCAAAAATTTAGTTAATGAACAATTGTCTAATATGGAAGTTGACTAAATTTGTTTATAAAAAATCTATCTTATTCAACTATATTAAGCTTTAATTAGACTAATAAGTTAATAAGGATGATTTTTTTTTTACTTAAAAGATGACTTATTTGTCTATTTGTAAATTGAAATATATTCGTATAAAACGTGATTTTTACGTTAAAGTAATGGAGTGGAATACTATTTTTATAAAAGAATATATGAAAAAAATTATATATTTTTATAATAATTATCAAAGTCGTATTTCGATGATATTTTTGATAAGGTGACTCGTTATAGAAAAATTTAAAAAAAATTATGTTAGATGAATGTTACATTCGTCGATAATCATTACCGATTTTATTTAGAGTCGGTGATAATTATCGACCTTTTTTACTTCAATTATATGTGTTTGATTATCAAAGAAAAAAATGAATGGAAAAAGTTAAAAGTAATCCATTCAAGTATAAGAAAACACTTTATCAGAAAAGAAGCACAATGTGTGAAGACGAATACAAAGACGTCTCGATGGGACGAGTGAGGACGTTTGCGGCCCTTAGCCCCAATCGTTCATCGAGGAAAATATAAAAATTGTATTTAAGCACCCACAAAAATCATATTCAATCGGTACAAAAACTTACAAGTATTGAATATATTGATAACCGATCATTGCTCACCACAAAGATAGCTTAACCTTCAATTTTCCTATCACAAAACGGTTTTACCAAAATCTATTGCTTTTATTCCTTTTTGTAGCATATGGGGATTAATGTGCTTATTTTTAAGCAGGGGACTAAAATGCAATCCAAAGTATAGTAGAATAACTTTTATGAAATTTTACCAGACCTTTTTTTTATTGAAAATAAAATAAGGGTAAATAACACCATTCCTTATTGAACTTTACTTTCCCCTATTTCACTCACAGTACTTCAATTTTTCTATTTTGCTCACTAAACTTTACATATTGAATTTTTTGCTCACTCTGTCATTAACTTTTTAACGGTGTTATGACATGACACAAGCACCAAAACGACGTCGTTTTGAAAAACTCAATATACACCAAAACAACATTGTTTCGAATGCTCTTCTTCCCCCACTGTCGGCCACCGTAGAGGGTGGTCTTTCGGTCTCAAAATTCATGGGTCGACTCGTCTCAAACTTATGAGTCCGAATCTGGTGGTTGTTTCACCAAAAAATGTCCTAAAATATGTGAATCTCGACTGAAACGTTTTGGCTTCCTCACTTTCAGCTCTATTTGGACTTCGGAGTAAGGTCCAACAGAATGGAGGTCGAATTCGAACTCAAGTGTCGAGGCAAAGCAACCCATGAAATTTGGGACCGAACGGTTACCATCTACAGCGGTCGATGGGGGCATCCGACCACCTTCTATTTTTATTTTACAGTTGGTGAGCAAAATAGGAGAAAGAGTAAAGTTCAGTAAGGAATGGTGTAATTTACCCTATATTTCAGTTTTTTTTTATAATAAATAAAAAAAAGACATGTCATCACAATGTTAGAGAGATAAAGGCAGAGTGAGCAAAATATTCAATTCATAAAGTTCAGGAGGCAAAATAAAAATTGAAAGTATAGTGAGTACAATAGGAGAGAAATAAAGTTAAGTAAATAAGGGTGTAATTTAACCATTAAATAAAAAGATCATTTGAACATGGTCAATGGTATTTGATCAGCGGAAAAAAAAAGAAATTCATTCCACACCAAACTTGTTCGGTCTTTGGCTGCCGTGTCTTCATACGTCCCCCACTCCATCTCTATCCTTTTCCTCCTCAATCTCTCCCTCTACGTGTGTGTATATATGTTACGATTCGTATTTTCCCCATCAAAACATAAAGATTTGAAGGAAGAGAGATTTGGGTGTGAGTTTTGTTAAGAATTGAAGCAGCAGAGATGGAGTCGAACAACAACAACCACGACAATAATTTAAGAGGAAAAGAAGACACGGGTAATGTTGCAATTCACAACCAAGTTCGGAAAATAAAGCAGGAATCGGAGCAAATCATCGACTGGTCGCCTGGACAGCCTCAGATGAGACCTGTTCTTAGAGAAATTTCCCGACATCAGATTTCTCGTCGGTCTCCTTTGGGGTTAAGCGGCAGCCCAATCTCCGTCGGTTGCTGGAGGGAGGCTCGTGAGATCAGTTTTTGAACAAAAGCTATAATAAGAAACTGTATTCAAATAACATGGGGATGGCAACTTATTCCCCTGTATTCATAGGCATAGCCATCTAAAAATAGAGAAGCAGAAATAAACAAAGGAAAATGTTACGTAAAATATACTTAAAGAATACCATGAGGGAAAAGTTGTTTACCCTACGAAAGAATTTCTAAAACTTTCTTTCTTTTATGAGGAAAGTCATATTTTTCTTATAGTTCTTTACACATTCAATTTAAATAAAAAATATGTTCATAATATCTAGTATTATTTGAATGTTCATAATATATGTTCTCATATATATGGATATATATTACTAGTAACGGAATGTGAAAATGAATCGAAAGGTTTTCCAGATATGGGACACATTGAAGTAGTAAAGATGCCCCCATTTATGCAATCTTCCAAAACCCTGAAATAATTAGACAGGAACTGTAGTCCCCTCATAAACAGTGCTCGTCCTCTCTTCTTGTCTCCATCAAGAAATTTCCACTTAATTACTAATTAATTATGTATATGCAATGGCCGATAGATATCGAATTGTCGAGGTTAAAAAGTCAGGGAAGGCAATGAACAGTTAAGGAACAAGGTCTTTTCCAAGAGTGGGAACAAGGCAAGGGTAACGAAAGAGTACCCTGATATGATAAGCAGTAACGAATTTGGAATTTTCTGCTACAGAAAGTGTGGAGGAGAATGAGCAGTGCAAACGTCAAATAAAGAACAAAAAAAAATAGTAGTACGAGCTAAGCTTCCCATGAGTGTGTTTTCTGTTTATCTGACTGATGATGATACCACTTTCAGGATATGCATGCATGGGTCATTACAAAAATGGGACTACCTTACCTTGTGATGAATTTTGTTACCAGATCGTACCGACAGTGCTATCTGAGGGGGTTCTTTCTTTTAGCTTTTAACTAAACATCTTTCCATTACAAGTATGGCAAAACTAAGGAGTTGTTTCCATTACAAAGATGGAGGCCAACAAGAGTGAATATCCTCACCAGGTGGAAGAAGCTGGAGATAGTGACGACATTGAGCTTCTCAAGACCAGAATTTCTAGTCATCCTTTGTATGGGAGGCTCGTTCAGAATCACCTCAACTGCTTAAAGGTTCTCTCTCCCACTCCCTTCATGTGTAGTTATAGCATGGTAGCTAGCTAGTTTATTTGCGTATGGTTTATGTTATGTAGTATTGACTATTGACCTTGCTAGCTAGTCATTTCTGGTTAAGCTTAGAGCCAAATATATATTTGCTATACCAACCCATTTCACCAACATAACATTTTATATCTGCTAGAAGGTAAAACATTGAGGCTCAAGCTCTTAGCCAATTGCTTATTATATAGGCCAGTGCTTTTAGTGTTCGGCTTCATTGTTTCATAAAACTGTGTTTAATGGAGGGAAAAATTGAAAGGGTTTTGAGGGAGTGGGAAGAAACCATGATGACATATATATGGAATAAGGGACACGTGAGGGTTTCATGGGCACTACTCCCTCTGCATGACCTTCCACCATAAATACTAAAGAGTAGCTCGTGAGAGATTCTTATTTAGGCGGATCCTTTGAGAATTCGTTCTCCTTAGTCCTTACCTTCCTCGCACAGTACTCCTGGTTTAACCGCCGTGTAAACCACCATTCTAGTAGGCTATGCTTTAAATTTAATATACAGTGGCATAGGCGTTAAGATTCCTTTTTCCTATAGCAGGTAGCAAGTTGAGAATTTTTTATTTATATATTTTTCGCTTTGATTAGGTTGGTGGCGTTGACAACAGTGGCACAGTAGCAAGGGAAATCAAAGGCAGGCCGAGCTTTATAATAGTAGCAATAATATCAGGAAGAATCCATGTTCTAGCAGCATGCACCTAAATCAAGGTCGGTACTACTATTTTTAAGTTCGGGGCAAAAAAAAAAAGGCCCCAATTTAAAAATAATTAAAAAATATGTAATATAAAAATTTTATTAGATTTTTTATTAAATTAAAAAAATAATTATTCATTCTAATATAAAAGATGTCAAAAATATATTTAAGAATACAAATACTTATAAAAATAATACATTCGGTCATTTTTTGATGCAAAATCATTTATGATAGCATTTGAAAATGAAAGAACGATCTTATCTAGAGTTTGAAATATATAAAAATTAAAAAAAAGAATTTGAAAACGTGATCTACCTAGAATTTTAAGAACAATCTTCAATATGATTCAAGCACCACAATTGATGATAAACAAGTGTGACTTTACGTGTGAGAGAAATATGATAAATTAAAAATGAGAAAAATAATTTTCAGAGGAATCGTGAAACATGAAAGAGAAAAGAAATATGCTAATTATACTTAAATGTTTTCCTCTCATTAAGTTTTGATGAAAAAAATACGTTAATAAATTTGTTTATTGATATGAAAAATCGGGAAAGAGATTTGGTGAATTTATTGTGGGAATTTGGAAAGACCAAAATTAAAGATATTCAATTGATTTTTTTTTTTAAAATTTTGGGAAAGAAATATTGAATTAGAATTTGATAGAAGAACAAATTATTATATAAAAGTCAATAATGACAATTGACACCTTAATAAATTCATAGGCCCATTATTTTATTGAGTAAATTATATATTTAGTACATAAACTATCAGTTTTGGCCCGTTTTAGTACCTAAACTTTTAATTTTTTCAAAATCATACCTAAGATTTAATTTGTGTTTCATTTTAGTACATGTCATTAAAAACTTTAGTTTTTTAGTTCATTTTAGTACCCATTCAAAATTTAACGTTAAGTTTTATTTTTTTTTTTGAAATTTTAGGTACTAAAACAAACCAAAACTTATAGTTTAGGTACTAAACGCATTAAGTTTTTAACGGCGGGGTACTAAAATGAAATGAAAACTAAACATTAGATATGATTTTGAAAAGAAATTAAAATTTATGTACTAAAACGGATCAAAACTGATAGTTTAGGTGCTAAATGCATAAATTACCCTATTTTTAATTTATTATCAGAAAAATAAAAAAAATATTATACTTAAAATAATTAATTTGTGGGCCCTGGGCGGGTGCCCCTCTTGCCCTGGCCCAGGGCCGGCCCTGACCTAAACCAATCAGAGTTAGACCTATTCATAGTAAATTCCTTCTTTCTTTTATTTCAAAATTACTCACTCATCCATTTATCATATATTTTTTGTGTATTAGTGCATGATACGTAAGCTGATTTTAAGTTGGATTTTCCCTCTTTTTTTGAGGTTGCTATAAATGTTAAGCTATGGAATCAAAGGTAGAGGAAGCATTAATTCTGGATATTGTTAAACACGTTGGCATGCATGCAGGAAGGATATTCCTGGGCACTGACCAAGCTAAAGGAAGCCATGGAAGAACCTCAGCCCGAAACAATAGCTTTCATCAATGGCATGCATTCTCAACTCAGGGACGTCGCCGGAGCTTCCCTTCTCCCCTGACGTCTTTCTGTTAATTTATTTTCAACCCCCAGAAAGATATAGCTTTTGCAATCAAGACTGGAAGTGGAAATGCACTAATTGCCTTTAGACTTTAATAATAATCATATGCCCAGCCAATAACTTGTGCAGCACGAAGCTGGAACGAATAATTCAAAGTGAAGGATCAACAGAAACGAGAGTCGTCGAATGCCGTGGATCATTGGATGTGCCGGTTGATACGGATTGATACCACGATTGTTTTCGTCGTCTTTAGATTATAATATTAAACTATAATTGTAGCATAACGGATTCGTCGTTACAGTTCTTAAATTTATTATAATACCGTAACTAATCTGAATATATTATTTTTTTTAAAAAAAATAGATAAAACTCCCGTAATTATTAATTATATATTATGTAACGTCCAGACATACTCAACTGGCCATCTATCGGACACAACAAGTTTAGTCTTATTCTTTCGATTTAACGAACCAAGTGGATTGGAAACGACAAGATCCTTAAAAATAGTTTAGGAAATGACACGTGACAGGAATATGTGACGTCATTGATCAAAAAAAAATGAATGATGTGTAATGTGTGCAACTAAAATTTGACTGGGTAGTACTTGCAGCTGATACTCTACTACTAGACAGACGGCTTGGTTTGCTCTGGTTCATGCATCCTTCCACCTTTTCATCTTTTGCCTGTGTCCCTTTCTCAGTATCGAAACTTTCAAGAACCATCCATATTTCATGGACTAATTCTACGCTTAATCCTTACATTATATGTAAATTGCAGATTTAATCCCTTATATATAATGTGATCATTTTTCGTATTTGCATTTTAAATCTGAAGATTTTCATCTCAATTCAAACGTTCTATTAGTAACACTTTTATCGTTCTTTATCACACATGAATAAAACAATATGAAATTCTCGGACTTGATTACTCTTCTTAAGTTGATCTCTAAATTTTTTAAACTATGTTAATCCTAGAATTTAACTACTTTTCAAAACTTACATAAGCTTCGGATATAACTTTTATAATTTAACCATTTTTAATTTTCAATACTAATTCAAACGATATTATTTGAATTTATTAAATGTTTTTTTTAATTTATGTGTTATTTATTATCAAAATATATGTGCCATAACTATCAATTATAAACATATTGGAAATCAAATATCGATTATTGTACGTGCCATTACTCATATTTCCCCTTGTCTCTTTTTTGCATATGGATACTCTCGATGATTATCAGTTTCACTGTCAATTTTTATTTATTCTTAAACTTTTAATTAAAATGGTCCCCTTTGCCGTTTCATATCATTGATGATATTTCTGTTTACCCTTACTTGGAAAAGGAATCTCCCCCTCTCACCATCCTTTTGTTTTTCTTTACTTTTCAGCGGCCAACGGGTCATCAGCTCTACTCAATGTCTAACACCTTCCACCATAATAACTTCACGTTGGATATATGTTTAGCTCTTTTGGTCTAATTATTCTCTTAGTCCTTGTACCCTTTGCAAATTTCAAATTTAGGTCCCATTCTTTTTTTGTTTTTGAAAAGTAAAAACTCCTCCATATATGATATTTCACCAAAGCGCCACATCGACTGGCGGAAGTAGAGAAAGAGTGTCCATAATATATCACGTTAAGAAGGTTTGACATAAGAAGTCACGCAGGACGTCTTCCAACCCTATTCTTTTGATTTAGTAATTGAATTCATAATATCGTCAAAGGATTTTTTATCAACGTGATTTTGTGACTTTAAAGAGAAAAAAAAAACTTGCAACTCACACCTATTTTATTTCGCATCCTTAGCCCTTGCTAACATAATATGTTTTGATTAAATCAGTCGATAACAATACCTATTTGGTGTATGAGTTGGCATTACACACTTGAGTACTTATTGGCTGTTTAAGCAACCTCGGCGAGTTAAAAAGGGAAGGGTAAAGTGTTTGGTGAAATATAAATTAATTTATCTAACAAGGATTTTTTTTAAAGACTTTTCAATATTCGGTTATCACACGAGCTTCAAGTTGGATCGAATCGAATTTTAAAGTAAGAGTAAAACTCTTATAAATGTTCTAAACGAACATAAGTTTGTACATGAAAGTTAAAAGATCAAATTAGAAATTAGTGATTTTAATTAACTTGGCATGTCATCAATGCAAAGAGAATTAATAGTCGAATGATAATTTTACGAGTAATCGATAACATTAATAACCTTAATACAATCTCTAGAAATTGAGTAATCCAATAAAAGAAAAGTAACATAAATGTAACATTTTTGTGTAATTTACTTTAATTTTATATTAACGATGAAATTTAGAAGAAAGAGATCATTGAAAGTATTCAAAGTTTTTACAATAAAATTTGCCCAAAATCTAATATATTGACCAGAGAAAAAGAAACAGAGGAATAAAGTCACATTAAACTCATGAAATTTTAAAATATATTTTGAAAATGTGTAACAAAAATTAAAAATGGAAATCGTGGGCTATTTTCCTAGAGAGAAAAAATATGTCAAATTATTGTTTTAGTCCCTCTAATATATTCATATTTGATCAGTAAGTTAATGTGGATTTTTTTTAAGAATAAAAAGATACCATCAAAACCCTACAAGTGTTATCAGTGTTATCTCGAGGGTGACAAAAATAGCACGTGCAAGTGGAAAAATTATTAGACGATTTCAATTCACTACATCATCTATGGTCCCGACTAATAATATTTGTTCATATTATTTTTTTCAAGGTGAATCTTCACATTTTTCCTACATGTAAATAAGAAACAAGTAGTTATTTGGAAGTTATTTTAAAATTTGTGACTTTCATTCACTAAAATCACGTATAACGTGATGAGCCGAGTCTGTTAAATAATTTATAGTGAAACTTTTTCATATATATTTTCTAAAATTGGTGTATATAATTAAATTTACATCTAACAAGATAATATATATATATATATATATATATAATAACTTTTACCTCATAAACTAAGTATTATATGATAAAAAATAATATAAAAAGTTTACAAATTTTTTAAAATATAAATATTTAAAAAATAAGATAATTTTTATAAAATATATTTGTGAAATTTTTAAAATTTCATTTTGTTTGAATTTTTACTTTTGAAATAAAAACCCTAAAAGTTATAAAAACTCATTTTTTTCCGTAAACTATAATATTTTATTTTAAAATATTTTTAATTTTTTAAATAAGTTTTTGTGTGTGACAGTTTCTAATATTGCAATAGTAATGCCATTAGTTAACGAAAAATACTCAAAGTTAAAAAAAAAGGTGCAAAAAATAAGTTTGGGAAATTATCCACCTTTGATTATTGATCATTTTCGAATGTGATGAATCTAATAGGAAATAATATATAAAAAAAGATCCGATTCCAGATTTAATTATTGTCTATACAAAAACCTAATCCCATATCCCATAAAAAGTTCAACCGGGTATTAGGATTCACGATCCGTTTGCCGTCGGGTAAATTAAACTGTCGGCGATCGGATACTTGATTAAGAACGGATGCTCCAAGAGCTGAGAAGCGGTCCACCTCTTACTAGACTCTTTCTGCAAGCAACACTCCATGAAGTTCCGGAACTCATCGGAAGCACCCGGCGGCAAAGTAGGTGGTTCGCCGAAGCATATCGCGCACATCAACGTAGCCCAGTCGGGTCTTTGACCCGCCCGCAAGAACGGGAAGTGACCCACGTAAAGTTCCATCAAAGTAAGCCCCAAACTCCATATATCGCCGAGGAACCCATCGTAGTTACCTCCGTTAGCGTCGGGGTCGAACCGCTCCGGACTCATGTAAGCGCATGTTCCGACGTAGGAATTGCACGGTTCCAAAGTCCGGGACATGATCTTGCTGACTCCGAAATCGGCGATCTTGACTTCCATCTTCTTGTTCACCAACAGATTCGAAGGCTTGAGATCTCGGTGAATTATCTTATGGCTATGTAAATAACTCAATCCTTTCAGAATCTGTCTTGTTATATGAGCTAGTTGAGGCTCCGAGAAAGTACCCTCGTTACGAAGAAGAGTATCCAAAGTTCCCGCGTCCATGTACTCCATCAAAATCGCAACATCCCCGGAAGGCTTCTCGTACGTTTCGTAGCAGCGAACTATGTGAGGCGAATCAGTCTTCCGTAGAATATCCCTCTCTCTGAAAACCTGTCGACGTGCCGTCAGGTCGCCGTCGCCGTAAACAACTTTCAGTGCATAAATCTTGGAAGTCCTTTTGTGTTGGACTTTGTATACAGTGCCGCCGTTTCCGTGGCCGAGTACACCAAGTCTCTCAAGCTCCGCTGCGGGGATAGAAACCGAGGAAGCGGCTTTGACGTTTGAGGCGGCAGATGGAGGTGGAGGGAGAGGGAAGAAGGGGCGGCGATCAGAAACGTCAGGCAGCGGGAGGCGGAGGTTAATCTGGCGTCGCTCACGAACTACTGCCATGTGAAGGAAAAAGGTAGGTATTTGGGGGAGAAAAATAAATGATTTTGAAGGAAAAGGAAGCTTTGGATATATATAAGTAAAAAGTAAAGTGAAAGAGTCTGCTTAGAGAGGAAGGTGAGAGGATAGAGCGGTTAAGTGGGCTCCAATATTTTAAAATTTAATGGATTGGTTGGCGATTATATAAATTATTTGAAATTATATAATTTAATATATTCGTGGGGGCAGAAGCCCTTAAATCTTTATATTGACATGTCGCTTGAATGATTAAAATAAGGGTAAACAACTTATTTAGTATCTAAATTATCTGTTTTAATTTATTTGACTCTCTAAAATTTTAAGTTTTTTCAAAATTATATATAATATTAGTTTTTATTTTATTTTATTACCCTACTGTTAAAAACTCAATAGATAGGTTGACGGAACAGAGCTCCGGTGGACGGACAATCAAAACCATACCCAATATTAGTTTTTGTTTCATTTTAATACCACGAGATAATGACAAGTCAACCAACATAGTCTAGTTTCAGGCCATTAGACGATTGATGATTCAGAGGATGA